AGCGAACACTATTAAACTAAGTGTTGCTGTTGTTGTTGCTGCTGCTGTTGTTGTTGTTGTTGTTGTTGTTGTTGTTGTGTTTGTTATTTGTTGTTTTTTCGTTGTTGTTGATATCGTTGATGTTGCTGTTGTTGTTGTTGTTGTTGGTCGTGTTGTTGCTGTTGCTGTTCTTGTTGTTCCCCATGCCCAAAGGATGGGGTTATTGTTATTATCCGACCGCGCCTGACCACCCATAGCATGGTGATGACCATGGTATGATGAGAGAATGGTGTAAGTATGAAGGTGATGGTGATGGTGAATGATGGATGATGATGATGATGATGAGGATGCTGATGATGATGCTGACGATGACGATGATGATGATGACGTTGATGTTGATGTTGTTGATGATGATGAGGATTTTTCCTCGACGTCAGGACCAACATCTGATGGTAAGATGTGGCGTACAGTGAATCCATACTTAATGATCCGTCGCAGAGAGCCAACTGTCTCGCACTGCCCCGCGTGGGCCACGCTGCCAGGGCGCTGCGCAGAGGGGTTTCCTGCGCTGCGCGTGCCAAGCAACGTCTCGGATGCTGGCTGAAAAAGTATTCGGCCGCTTCATCCTCGGCGATTGTATCGAACTCAGGTGGGGCCTCCACCTCACGTAGCTCCTCTGCTTGTGCAGGCACGGCAGTGGGGAGAGGTGGAGGCACGTCGGAGGCGGGAGGGTACGTGACCGTGACCGTGCTACTGCTAGCAGGGAGGGCTTCGCCTCGGACAAAAATAACACGGCGCTGGATTGTGTCCTCTCCGTTTGTGCTTGCATTGTGCCGTGCAGGCTCGCTCTGGCAAAGGAGCGGGTTCACTACTCGGGCGTCTTCGTCCCGTGGTCTACCTCCTCCTCGAGCCAGTCCGCGTGTCCCTCGGCCACGCCCCTGTGGTGGACCGCCTGGCCCTCGGCCGCGAGAGCGCGGTTGATCAGGTCTCGGCCCTCCCACGTGGGCGCGCCGATCACCAGCTTCGTCTTGGTGTCGTCGTGGCACTTCTCCAGACGCACAATGGAGATGACGTCGAGGAGATCTTCCTTGCTGATCTCCGCCTCCGCCTCGATATCCTCGGGGTCCGCTCGGGGCAGGTAGTTCCGAATGGCTTTCTTCATAGTGCCGCCCACGTCGCACTTGTGCAGTCCTTCCAAGGCCGCCAGCGCGAGGGCAGGAGCTGGCGACCCTATCTCCTGCATGCGTTTCTTGTCCTCTAGGGTGCCGCTCTTTTTGAGGGAGTCCAGGGTGTGCTTGTAGCCCTCGAGCTCCTGCGTGATGGCTGTGATCACTGGGTGCTCGTTGCTCATCGTGTATATGTCCGTGCTGATGCTGTGCTTCAGCCTGGTCTCGTGCGTCGTCTGGAGCGGCAGCTTCTTGTCCTCGCCGATGTCTCCCTCGTCCACCTTGTTGGGCGTTCGTGGCGATCGGGATCGCCTCTGCGACGGCGGCGGCGGGCCTGGCGGACGTGAGGCCTTTGTCGCCTTCTGGCCTGGCGCGGCGCTGGAGGCGGTGCCAGAGCCCTTCGAGCCCAGGGAGGAGTCCAGCGGGAGTCGCCACGGCGCTCTCGGCTTGGGCGTCATCGCCTGGTCCATGAGGAAGTGCAGGAAGAGTAGGCGTAGAGGAGACAGTAGCCACTCGTATTGGCCGCGTAGATGTTGCATCTGCTGCTGCTGGGCGCTGTGCCTCTCGTAGCCGTCGAAGTGGTCGGCGTCTGGGTCTGCTGCGAGGGTCGCTGCCCACGATGCGTTCCACCGGCTGACGAATGGCAGCGCGTACCGCAGGGGTGTCCTCTATGGCAGGCGATGGGCGGCAGCTGGATGGCGCGGGGCGCGGCGGGGGAGCACTCGGAGTGGCCGAGCGCGCGGTAAGCCTTCTGACGACAGGCTTGAGCATGGAACCCGATGGCGACGGTGGGACATGTCCCAGGACGTGAGCTCGAAGTTTTTGCTGATCATGATATTCCTGTTGGCATGCATGATCCAGAGCGTAGTCCCGTAGAGGGCATGTAGTACATGTGGCTGGTATCCAGGGATATACATGATGAGTAAGTTCTGGAATGCATATGCCTGCTTGCCACGCTCGTCGTAGGTGCCTAACTGCATGATCTTGATTTGGATACGTAGTTTGGCACACAATACATGTGTTGTCGATCTGCAGGGTAGTCAATACCGCTGGCATACCGTGTCCTAGGCTCTTAGCTTTAGTTTGGTGTGTGACGAGCTGTTGGAGCGTCCCGAGCCGTTTCTGGCATGACTCGATGTTGCACACGAAGGGGCGGTTCGTCTCGTCGTCAGTGTCCGTCTCGTCGTATGTTGCCGCCGAGGGGAGAGAGGAGGTGATCACGCTGGCCTCGGGGGGAGCCCACTGAGTCGTCCAGTAAGAAGCCCTGAGAGCCCGAACGTCACAGTTTAAGAAGGCCTCTCGAACCCACTCGTCATCCCACAGGTTTTTTACAACTCGAGGCTGCCACGCTTCCTGAAAGCTTTCGCCGATCGTGTGGGACGACAGGCACAGCAGATCGTCCGCGAGCTGTGTGGCCCACGGGTGCACGTTCGGGTCTGCGGAGATCTCACCCTGCGAATTGAGGGTTCCAGCGCTGACGGGGCGGTTGCTTATGGCCGCCTGCTGCTCGAACTTGCATCTTCCCCCAAAAAAAAAAGAAGCGAGAACGTGGCCATGATGCGTGTGCGATCGGATTATGCTCTGCCACCAGCTGAGCCTGCGCACGAGTAACTCGATGGCAGTCGGTGCAACGTGCCATTCAATAAACACTTGGCGGGTGGACATAGATCGATGATTGTTGTGCTCATCCTCCTGATGTGCTGCTCCTCTCATCATTGATCGTAGTTTGCGGGCCAATGAACTGTCGAGTCTGTGGAGCTCTCTAGGGGACAACACGTAGCTTTCGAGGCCAGACCACAACCTCCCCGCGACGTTGGACACGAACGCGAGCCGTTTAGCCTTCCAAGGGCCTCCAGAGAACCAGTAGTCGCCCAAGCGGCTCCACCCGATTTTACCTGATTGTATGCGGGCCTCGACTTCACGACGATTACTGTTGGCAACATGTACACATCCTCCGAGATGAATCAAGTCCTGGACTGCGTTCCCAGAAATATTCCGTTCGGCCTCCTTCGTAGCCCCATGGGTGCCCAGTGAGACCAGGGTGTCCTGCATGCTGATGTTCTGTGCGTAGCCGCCAGCCTCGAGGGCCTGGGAGAGCGCGTTGTTGTCGATCTTATCAATCTGCAGCGCCTGGAGGGCCGTGCCGTCTGGCGCCAAGATGATCTTGACTAGATCGTCGATGAAAGCTCCAAGATGCGCATCAAACTCTTCACCAGTAAACGGGCAGTGTACCTGGAACGGGTTTCCCTGGACCTGTGACACCTCCTGGGGCCACTGCTTCGCTAATGGGTAAAATGGTTCCATAAAAAGTTCAGGCTCGTTTGAGGCGCCCATCCCCCCTCCCGTCCCTGGTCGAAGAGCCATGCTAGCGTCGGACGCCTGCAGAAATACTACTGCCTCGTGTCGGTGCTGCTCAAGGAGGGGATGAAAATGCTCATCTTCGCATCGGAGCGTGTGGGCGGCAACCAATCGCTCGTGGGAGCCTGTCGCGAATGCATTCCGCATGTCGCACGACTTAGCGAGAAAAGACATGCTGGCGGACCTCATCTTCATATCAACAGTTTAGCAATGAGCATGAGTGATTCGCGTCGGCGAGAATGAATGCCTCCATAGGCCCACGGCGGTGGGTCGAATTGGGTTCCATACTGTATGAGTCCTATTCTGAGATTTAATCGCCAAAAATGGTCGAAACAGTAAAGTAAAACGTACGCATGCATGGATGTCCTGAATCACGTTGCCAGCATGGCTTTTTCATTTTTTCCAACGGCGACCGCCTGGCTGGTGAACGCCTGGGCGGGCAGAGAGCCACATCGGTGGACATGAGCGAGCAATGTGACGAAAATCTGGGTGATGGTGGAGCTGACGTCGTAGTCGATCACGGGCTTCCCTCGACTAGGTTGGTAGACCTGCTTCGCGAGCGGGTCCGCGTATTGATAGTAGGCGGCGTCGTGTCCCATCCCTGCCCGTTGAACACCAGGGCGCGCCAGATATTGTGGGGCGAGGAGCATGATGGTGAGTTCGACGGGCCATGCCCATGGTGGGTTGTAGCGCCTCCGTTTCTCCCTCCACAGTCGTTTCTGCAGATGGTCGAGCTCCCCCGCTGCCGTCTCAATGTCGTGGAGCTCAGGGGCGCCGATGTGCTCCCCCACTGGTTGAACGTCGTTCGGTTGGGCCAGTAGTCGTGGAATAGCTGTCGGGTCGTCGATGCGCATGCTGACGTAGGCGGGCGTGGCAGAAAGTCCCCCCTGTGCGGCTGGCTGGGTAAGGGCGTCGGCGTGCTCGGCTGCAGTGGGACGCGTGGATGGCAGTGAAAGGTGTGATCGTCGTCGTGGTCCTGTTCGTCGTCCCGCTCGGATGCACGCGAGATATGCAACTCGAGAGAGGTCGCGAGTGGCCCACGCGTCGCGCATGTCCTGCTCGAGGCTGACTTTCCACCAGTGACCCATCCATCGTTGGTGTGCTCGTAGGCGTCTTTGGATCTCGCGTAGGGTTGCATGATTGAACAGTGGCCGTCGGGCTCGACAATCGGCACGTTCTTTAAGCAGTCGGAGCCGTTCAAGTCGAGCTTGTTGGTACCATTGTGGTTGTCCTCCTTCCTTTGTGAAGCACTTACGGCCGCATTCGCGAATGATGTGGGCGATTATGGCGTTGTGTCGGGTCGGAAACTGATCCATCTTGACGACTCGAAGGACCTCCTTGTGTTTGCCGATCTCTGCGTAGACGTCATTGAGAAAAAGAAACGCGATGGGCGCCCGTCTGGAGCCCAGCAGCGAGGAGGCCGAAGTCCCACCGAATGCTGTTATTCGTGATATTGACGCTACTGATAGGCATCTTGATTTGCATAATCATGGGGACGTGGTCGGCAACGTGTATCAGGCTACGTAGCTTGGTGTGGATCTTCCAATTCAGCTTAACATATTTCACTATCTCCATAAGGTTGTCGTAGCCGATGAAGTAGTCGATGCGTGATCTTGCCTTGTTGGGCCCGTAGTAGGTGTTGCCGACATCGATGTGCGCGTTGATGGCCGTCAGCTGGTGCGTGAAGAGCTGGTCGTGAATGAAGCGTCCGAACTCGGTCTCGTCGCTGGCGTGGTATCTGCCGATCGCGTTGTCGGTGTACAGATGTCGCGATCGCCGTCCTAGGCCTTGGTTGAGGTCCGCGAACAAGACAGGCGTGACGCGAGCGGGAGCGGCGGTAAGTGTCTGCAGTACCCAGCTCCATAGTCGTCGGCACCCTGCTTTCCAGTGTTGGTGTTGACCTGCTCCGTTCGGCCGTGGTGGGAAATTCGCAGCAATGAGTCGAAGACGGAGCTGGCCTCGGCGCAGCTCAACGGCGCCTGCGCGGCCCCGTAGGTCGGGTTGTAGGGGGTGCAGTACTTTGACGATATCTATATTGCGGAAATGGCGCTTGGATACCGCGATGCCGCATCCTGCCGAGCTGTTTGTGTGGGCCCCACGACCCTAGCCGAAGTGGACCCAAGTGTGGTGGAGGCTGTCCTCGAGATGGTGCGGGGCGTCGATGGTGCGTTGTCGTATCTTGGTGCCTACGTACATCATAATCTGCATCGCACGGCATGTGTCGGAGATGTGGTCGAGACGCCCTGGAACACCCTTACGCGAGAACGGGTTCCATCCAAGTATCGTGATGGCCTTCGTCGTGGCGTAATGCGGGCGTGCGTCGGGGTCAGGGCGGCGGGCTGGAAATTGATGATCAGGTCGTTCGTCGCCAGGGTCCCGACCATGTCGAAACTCAAGTACAGGTGGCAATTCAAGGTCTGCATGCAATTCTTCCGCTGGTGGCAATTCAGGGTCAGCGTGGTGTAGTCCTGCACGTGCTGGCGCTGGCCCTCTATGCCCGTGCTGATGTTGAAATTGATGCTCAGCGTCTGGCAAGTCAGGGTCAGCATGATGTAATCCTGCATGTGCTGGTCCTCTGTGTTCGCGGTGATGTTGAGCTTGTTGCTCAGCGTCCAGTGGTTCTTCGCGTGCTGGGTGTTGAGGTGGTGGTGATGCTGGGGTCGAGCTGCAGCTTGGGACTCGTGCGTGTAGTGGGGGATATCGGTCCCGTACTGCAGCGTCGGCATCATTGTCTGGCTGGCGGTCATGTGCTCTTTCCATGCGTTCGTCCATATTCATGATGTCAGCGAGCGAGTCCTGCGTGCTCAGCAGGTGCGCGGTGCCCGCGCTCTGGAGCACAACCTGGGCGGCATGGCGTTGTGCGGGGTGTCGTCTGTGTGGCCCCCTGCCTTTCGGGCTAGGCAGGAGGGCGGTGGCTGGAGGCCGCTGCTCCTTCGATGGCCTGAGCCTCGGCGGCCTTTGATGATGATGATGATGATGATGATGATGATGATGATGATGATGATGATGATGATGCTGATGATGCGGCTGATGATGATGATGACGATGACGATGATGGTGACAATGATGTCGATGAGCAGATGAGGAGGATGTCTCGAGCGGCTTGCTGGTTTTAGCACTCCTAAGGGGGGGCGCCAGGGGGTATATCATGGCCTCCGTTCGCGCCCAAATGGTGGGGATGTCTCAGGCGGTGTTCCTGCTTTGGTCCCCCAAATCCTCCGTTTTTGAAGCAGATTTGGAGGATGTATCGTGCGAGGCGCCTCCTAAGGGGGGGCCGCCAGGGGTATCTCACGGCCTCCGTTCGCGCCCAGATTGCGGGGATGTCTCAGGCGGTTTGCCTGTTTTGGTCCCCAACATCCTCCGCTTTCGGAGCAGATTTGGAGGATGTCTCGAGCGAGGCGCTCAGTTTCGCCCCGGCCAGACTCGTGGGCACAGATTCTCCCCAGGATGCCACAGGAGGCTCCAGCAGGCTCCAGGAGGCCCCAGGCTGCCACAGGAGGTCCCAGGAGGCATCAGGAAGCCACAGGAAGACTCAAGAGGCCACAGGATGTCCCAAGAGGCTTCAGGAGGCCCCAGGAAGCTCCAGGAGGCCTCAGGAAGCCACAGGAGGCCCCAGGAGGCCACAGGAAGCGCCAGGAGGCCCCAGAAGGCAACAGGAGGCCCCGAGAGGCGCAAGGAGCAGGAGGCCTCAGAAGGCAACAGGAGTGGCTCCAATCCCATGTGTTTTACGTATGCTCCTGTAGATTGTGCCTCACCTGGAGCACGAATCCTTGATGTTATATGTATATGTATATGTATATGTATATGTATATGTATATGTATATGTATATGTATATGTATATACATGTATGTATGTATGTGTATATATACATACATACATACATACATACATACATACATACATACATACATATACATGCATGCATATATATATATATATATTATATAATGTATATATTATATATATATATATATATATATATATATATATGCGTATATATATATATATATATATATATATATATATATATATATATATTGTCCTTCTCCTGTGTATACAGTCCTAACTGTTTTACGTATGCTCCTATAGATTGGGCCTCCCCTTGGGCACGAGTCCTTGGTGTTTTACGCGTGTTCCTATACATTGCCCTTCTCCTGCGGCTCCAATCCGCAATGTTTTATGTACGTCTGTTCCTATATTTTGGGCTTCTCGTGGGACACGAATCCTACATAACTAGGAGGTCCCAGGAGGCTCCAGGAGGCCCCAGGAGGCCACGCGAGGCTCCAGGAGGCCTCAGGAGGCCACTCGAAGCCCCAAGAGGCCCCAGGAGGCCCCAAGAGGCCCCTGGAGGCCCCAGGAGGTTTCTGGAGGCACCAGGAGGCCCCAGGCTCATGCGCAGAGACGCGTTCGTACTACTGAGACTCATTCACACTCCAATTCATTCGCAATTAGATTCATGATCAGACCGTCACAACTCAAACCCGCTTATATTCGAAAGCTCTTGCGCCTAGACGCTCACGGCGGACAGGTCCATGCGAATAGATGCACATATGGGGAGCTCCACGCAGTGAATGAGTGTTGAACTCTCACTTCTGAAAATAAGTATTGCTGATCCGCTTTCGCCGGTGCATGCTGTTTTTTCTCAATCAAAGTGTGCCCCTCGACGCTCGCACCCTGTTTTTGGACAGGGAAAACATTGGTGCTCAAACTTGGCCCCTGGCCCCCCGGATTACAATAACAACGGCTCCCGCCTGAGACTTCCTCCAAATTTACTCAAGACCCCCGCTCCTGAGACTTCCTCACAATTTTCTCCGGATCGGTGCTCCCGCCTGTGACTTCCTCGCAATTTAGTCAGGACCCCCGCTCCCATCTGAGACCTCCTCACAATTCACTCAGGAACGGCGCTCCAGCTTGAGACTTCTTCGCAATTGAATCAAGACTGCCTCGCAATTTAATCAAGACCCCCGCTCCCGCCAGAGAACCCTTCACATTTTGTTCAGGAATTGTGCTCTCGCCTGTGGCTTCCATGCAAATCATTCAGACATCGCGATTTCGACGCTGAGGAAACACGCTGCGCCAAGGTCGCCCTTACAATTTACTTAAATTAATCGCGCTCTCGCCATACTCAGGCATCCCGCTTGAATGTCCCACCCGCCCGACCCGCCCGTCAGGAGATCGCCTGCCCGTCGTGGGTTCCCGCCCGACACTTCCTTCAGGAACGGCGCTTTCGCCTAGGACTTCCTCGAACGTTCACGCTCTTACCTTCCTGCTCCTCCTCCCTCTCCCTCCTCCCTCCTCCCTCCTCTCCTCCCTTCTCTCCCCTCTCATCCTTATGCCTCTCTGCCCTATCCCCTCTCCCTCCTCTCTCCTCCCTTCTCCCTCCCTTCTCCTGCCTCCTCCCTCCCTCTTTCTTTATATGTATCCCCTCTCTCTCTACCTCTCTTATATGTCTTTTTTTTTTTTTCTCTCTCTCTCTCTCTCTTTCTCTCTGCCTCTATGTAATCAGCCGCCCCCCTCTTCGCTCCTTCCCTCCTGGCGTTTTCCCTCTTCCTTCGTCCCTCCCCCTCCCTTCCTCCCACTCTCCCTCGTTCTCCCCCTCCCTTTTTGCAGGACCCACACCAATTCCAATGGCGGGCACATGTACTCCCACGAAGGATCATCCGCCCGTTCAGGCTTGCCCGCCTGTCTAAGCCCGCCGCCCCCCGCAGAAACAAAGAATGCCCCCAAAGGGGGTGTGATCGAAGACAAAAAGGGCGGGTATCGAGGGTGAGGGGAAGTCGTTTTGAATGACACACGGGCAACTAAGAGCGAACAGTCTTAGAATGATTGTTGTTGTTGTTGAACTCTCATATCTGAAGAATAAATATTGTCGATCCCCCCAAACCGGTGCATGCTGCTTTTTCTCAATCAAAATGTGCCCCTCGACGCTCGTACCCTGTTTTTTGATCGGGAAAATCTTGGTGCTCAAACTGGCCCCCTGGCCCCCCGGATTACAACAACAACGGCTTCCGCATGAGACTTCGTCCAAATGTACTCAAGACCCCCGCTCCTGTGACTTCCTCACAATTTCCTCCGGATCGGTGCTCCCGCCTGTGACTTCCTCGCAATTTAGTCAGGACCCCCGCTCCCATCTGGGACTTCCTCACAATTTACTCAGGAAGGGCGCTCCAACTTGAGACTTCCTCGCGGTTGTATCAAGACCGCCTCGCAATTTCATCAAGACCCCCGCTCCCGCCAGAGAACCCTTCACATTTTATTCAGGAATTGAGTCCTCGCTTGTGACTTCCACGCAATTTATTCAGAAATCGCGATTTCGACGCTCAGGAAACACGCTGCGCCAAGGACACCCCTACAATTTACTTAAAATAATCGCGCTCTCGCCATACTCAAGCATCCCGCTTGAATGTCCCACCCGCCCGACCCGCCCGTCAGGGGATCGCCCGCACGTCGTGGGTTCCCGCCCGACACTTCCTTCAGGAACGGCGCTTTCGCCTAGGACTTCCTCGAACGTTCACGCTCTTACCTTCCTGCTCCTCCTCCCTCTCCCTCCTCCCTCCTCCCTCCTCTCCTCCCTACTCTCTCCCTCCTCTCTTCTCTCATCCTTATGCCTCTCTGCCCTATCCCCTCTCCCTCCTCTCCCTCCTCCCTTCTCCCTCCCCTCTCCTGCCTCCTCCCTCCCTCTTTCGTTATTTATTTCTCTCTCTCCCTCTCTATATATATATCCCCTCTCTCTCTCTTTCTCTACCTCTCTTATCTGTTTTTCTCTTTCTCTCACTCTCTCTCTGCCTCTAATCAACCGCCCCCCTCTTCGCTCCTTATCTCCCGGCGTTTTCCCTCTTCCTTCGTCCCTCCCCCTCCCTTCCTCCCACTCTCCCTCGTTCTCCCCCTCCTCTTTTTGTAGGCCCACGCCAATTCCAATGGCGGGCACATGTACTCCCACGAAGGATTGTCCGCCCGTTCAGGTTTGCCCGCCTGTCTAAGCCCGCCGCCCCCCTGCAGAAAGAAATAATGCCCCCAAAGGGGGTGTGACAGAAGGCAAAAAGGGCGGGTATCGAGGGTGTGGGGAACTCGTTTTGAATGACACGCGGGCAAGTAAGAGCGAGCAGTCTTAGAATGGTTGTTGTTGTTGTTGTTGTTGTCGTTGTTTGTTGCTTGTTGTCATCGTCCCCCCCGCCACCCACCCGCGACCCCCCCGCGACCCACCCGCGACGAGGCCCGCGACCCACCCGCGACCCACCCGCGACCCACCCCGCGACCCGCCCGCGACTCACCCGCGACCCACCCGCGACCCACCCACGACCCAATCGCGGCCCACCCGCGACCGGACCCGCGACCCACCCACGAACCTACCGCGACCCACCCGCGACCCACCCCGCGATCCACCCCGCGACCCACCCACATTGCTTGAACGAAAAAATCAACGCCTGCGGCGAGCTCGTTGTATGATTTGTAAAAATGAAGCGCTTGCAGCGGGCTTCGTCAGAGCCTTACAGACTGCCGGCGTCCCCGCCGCCCCCTCAATCTTATCCGCAAATGCGGGGTGCTACTTACATATATATATATATATATATATATATATATATATTCATATATATATATACATATACACACTATATACACATACATACATACATCTATATATATATATATGTAGAGAGAGAAAGAGAAAAAGAGAGAGAGAGAGAGAGAGATCCACACCTAAATATAAACATGCTACAGGCTCGGATGTATTTCTCCGAACGCCATCCCAAAGCCCCAACAACACCCGAAAGATGAATGAAGGTTTCTGCGCCCAACTCCGTCCGCATACGCGCGGTCCAATCGCCCCCCTCCCATGAAATTCTCAACGTGCTTCCGCCTGTGGGGAGGCCCCTGGGGTGATCCACTGCTTCAGATAGAACTTTATTCACGAGAGTGGATGGAGCCTGATTTGGGCGATTCTGCTCAGGACGTGCTGAGAATCTGCTTGGTTTGGCCCCTGGTTTGGCCTCCTTGGTTTGGCCGGCGCCCCGCCTGAGACATCTTCAAGATCTGCCTGGTTTGGCCCCTGGCTTGGCCTGGTTCGGGCCCCGTTTCGCTTAAGACTTCCTCAGAACTTGCTTGGTTTAGCCCTGGTTTGGACCCAATTCCGCCTGAGACGTCCTCACAAGTTTCCTGCTTTGGCCCGGGTGTGGCCTGGTTTAGGCCCAGTTCCGCTTGAGATATCTTCACAAGTTGCCTGGTTTGGCCCTGGTTTGGTAACAATTTGTGCTGGTGGTTCGAACTGGCATAAGTGCAATTCGCCTGGGCCACGTTTTCTTCGGCACTGAACGAATAATCAACACAGGTCGTGGTGGGTGTTCAAAAACCGAATGTGTGGCACTGTGCGCAAAGAAAAAAAAAACATTGTGGTCCACATGTAGCACGACTGCGCTATGAAACAATTGGGGAAATGGGTGTGGACATTCCTAACACGCTATGAGTCGTCACAGGCGCGTGTGGCGGCGTTTGGAAAAAACTGTCCGAGACTGATCAGGCTCGGAAGTATTTGTCCGAACGCCACACCAAAGCCCCAACAACACCCGAACGACAAATGGAGGCGTCTGCGCCCAACCCCGTCCGCATCAGCGGACGCGCGGTCCAATCGCCCCCCCCCCATAAAATTCTAAACGTGTCTCCGCCTGTGGGGGGGGCCCTGGGGTGATCCACTCCTTTAGTTAGAACTTGGTTCTCTTGCACAGCTGTGTTCTAGAGCTCGGACCTCTTCATTTTCGTCGTCGTCGTTCGTTCGCCGTTCGTCCTCTTCTTTGGCCGTTCTGGCATTGCCCTGGACCCAGCCCTCCCCAGCTCCCCTGGCTCTCCCCCCTTGCACAGCTGTGTTCTAGAGCTCGGGCCTCTTTATTATCTTGCACAGCTGTGTTCTAGAGCTCGGACCTCTTAATTTTCGCTCGTCGTTCGTCGTTCGTCCTCCCCCCCGGCCACGGAAGGAAACTCCTGGAGGAAGGAGGCGAAATCCTCTTGTCCCTCACAGCTCCTTGCTGCAAGAGCCAGGGCACGCGTGCCACGTGTTCACGAGAGTGGATGGAGCCTGGTTCGGGCGATTCTGCTCAGGACGTCCTCAGAATCTGCCTGGTTTGGCCCCTGGAGCACTCTTGGGCTGTCTCGGGGGCGTCCTGGGCCGTCTTGAGGCCCTCCAGGGGCTCTCTTGGATGCCCAGGAGGATGGTACTGGGGATTTGCCTCAGACGGTTGCGAGGTTTGCGAGGTCAGGGGGGGGGCTGTTGTTATATTGTATAGGTATGATAGATACAAACACCTTCGTATATGCGTGTGCACATAAGAAAGCATATGTTCATGAGGGCGAGGGTGGGAGAGAGGGGAGAGGGAGAGCGAGTGAGAGAGAGCACCAACAGCAGCAGCACAGCAGGGGCGGTGCCCGAGCGCCCCTCACTCCGACGCCGGCCGCGCCCACCCGTGTGCGGTGCCCGCTGCGAGGCCCCAGGGCCCCCGTCGCTCCGGCCGCCGCCGCCCTTCTCGGCCGGCTTCCCTCGAAACGGGGGCCGTCCGCAGGGGAGCCCCCGCCATGGAGCTGCGAGGCGGGGACGTGTCCATGTTCACCGCCTGGGAACCGACGTCCTGGTGCCCCCACGGGCGGTGGATATGGATACATTTGGGCCCCTGGGGGCCCGAACATATCCATGTCCACCGCCTGCCGAGGTCCCCGAACATTGATCCTCCAGGCGGTGGTCATGTACAAGTTCCCGCCTCGGAGGAGCTCAGGCCTTGCCGCGCAGACTCTTCAGCACGTTCTTGGCCTCAATCAGGATGGCAGGAGAAGAAACAGCGGCGCAGAAACAAGCTTGTGGCGCTCCGCACGGGTTTCTTGGATCTGCGCTGGGCCCCCTCCCTGGCCCGCGGAGCGCGCCAGGGGCGGCGCCGGAGGCGCCGCCAGGGAGTGCCCAGCGCAGCTCCAAGAAGTCCGCACGGAGCGCCAAAAGTTTACGCTTACGCGGATTTTTCTTCTTCGAGCTGGGGTCGTCCACGGACTGCAGGCCGAGTATCTCCCCCTCGTTGATGGCCCACTTCAGAGACTCCTCCCTCCTCAGCTCGATGGCCTCCCTGAGCCGCCCGCGTGCCTCGATCTATGTTGCTCCCCTCGCACTAAAGGGCCACATCCCAGAAATAATTTCGGGCACCCAGGAAGGTATCGAAACAATGTCGAACGAATATCGCCTCCCAGGGCCCGACGCGTGAAAACCCTCAAGTTTCGGTACGTTCTCGGTGATCGAAATTCTTTTTGGTGATCAAGGCTAAAGTAGGTTGGAACATCATAAGCCTCGATGCGGGCAAGCATATCCTCCGCGGCATGGAGGTCTTGACTCGGGGCTCCCGCCCTCCGCGCCATGGATATCGCGGACCTCAGCGCCTCGACGTCCTCGGACTGAATGGCCGCAGCCATGAGGTCGAACGACTCCAGCTGGTGCACCTTCCCCTCCTAGAGTTAGGTCGGGCATGTCTCCCTACAGGCGGATCTTGGATGAAACAAAGAAAAAGGGCCAACTTACATAACAAAAAGGTCAAACAAATATTACAAATTGCCAGAAATGCAAAAAAAATCGCACCCAGACTATTTTGTTTGACTATCTTTGAGCATTCCCCCTGTAGAGGGACAGGCCCGACTGAACCCTAGAGGAATAAACAATTGTATAAACACAAACTTTTGACGGTGAGCGCGGATTTCTTGGATCTGCGCTGGAGCCCACTCCCTGGCGCGCGGAGCGCGCCAGGGGCGGCGCCAGCCGCCAAGGCGCTCCAGCGCAGATCCAAAACATCCGCGCGGACCGCCACAAATTTAGAATTCTGCCGTTTCCTGTTCTTCTACCGCCACCCCGGGGGAAAACAAAACATACGATACCGGTACTCCCTGGACCTCGCCTGGGGTTGCTTCTGATCAGGATTTCGAGGCGAACCCAGCGGTGGCGACGAGGGCCTCCCAGGAGGCCCAAATAGGGGAAAACGAGAAAAAGACAGCGGTAGGGTACATTTTCCTCCTTTGACCCACCCCATACTTCGATTAGGAGATTGACTTCAGACTTGACTTACTCCAGACTCTCAATTTTCCCCTCGAATCTACGGCAAATGCGCAAAACTGTCGTAAATCATTCGTGGACTCGACGAGAAGCCCCATTTTGGGGTACAACACTCCTGTAGTCGATCTCCTTCTCGAATGCTCGAGGCATCGCAGACGCGGATCCGCAACGCGTGGATCAGCGACGGGCCCCGCCTCCGTGCAGAAGCGGTGCGCTCCGCCGGCAGACCGGCAGGCACCGGATGCGGAGAGCCCCTTCGCTGCTCCCGGCCGTGCTCCGGTCCTGCTCCGAGCCGCTCCGATCTTATGATCAGATCCGACCCCGTGCTCCGATCCTGCTCCGAGCCGCTCCGATCTTCTGATCAGATCCGACCCCGGCCGATCCTGATCCGAACCAAGTCAGCATCCGCCCGCCCGCCCATCCAAGGTCTATCCACCCACCTGGCAGCCATCCACCCACCCGCCTCCTCCGCCTCCCCCTCCTCCCAGGGGAGGAAGGGGGGGGAGGAGGAGGCGAAGAAGTGCAGCCGCTGCACCTGACCCTTGGCGCTGTCGATCAGCGTCCTGCTCACGCCGGCCTTCTGCGCTCTGGCGAGGGCCTGGCGTATACCCTCCTTGTTGCCCTTCAGCACCGCGATCGTCAGCGCCTGGCTCTCGCGCTCTTGCGCCAGCGCCTTGTCCGCTCCGTTGATGTGCGACTGCGACAGGCCGCTCTTCAGCGCGCGCTGCATTGTCTCCGCCAGCCTCGAGGTCTCAGTGGGCGCTGGCCCCGGCGACGTCGAGCCGGCGCTGGTCGCGTGCGGCGAGGCCGGCGAGGAGAAGGGCTTGGCGGCGAGGGGGGCGACGGCGGCCTTCCGCGCGCGCTGCGACGCCGCCGGCGAGGCCTGCTGCGGCGGCCCGGCCTGCGCCAGCTGCGGCAGCGACACGGACTTGCTGAGCTGCGCCCGCGGCGAGACGCCAGACCGCCTCTTCCTCCAGCGAGGGGCAACGCGAAGGGGGGGACGACCGGCGGTTTGAGGTTTTCGGTTTTTTTCGTCGGTTCTCGGCCTTCGGGCCTCGGGATACCTTCCGGCGGCTGCGGCTCGCCGAGAGCGTGCCAGGGTTTCCCGGATCGCCCCGAACGGCGGCCGCACACCCGAGTTATGACCCGAAACCCAGATTATGAGGATGTCTGAAGGGGACTTGCTCGGGGGGGAGAGGCATCGACCTGGAATCGGTGATATATCGCCGATAGATCGGCGATACGCCATGATATGCCCCCGATGGCGAATCCGCACGGTCCTGAGCGGAGTGGGCCAACGGGCCCCAATCGGCGATCCGAGGGCGAGTGGGGGTCGATACGCCCCCCCCCCTCCCCCCGAGCCTATGCCCACTAATCTTGCCCCCTGGTTTTCGGGTCGCAGCTCGGCTCTCCGATGGACGTTCGAGACGACCCGGGCACCCCGGGAACACTCTCGACGAGGCGCGGCCGCTGGGAGACATCCCGAGGCTCGAAAGCCGCCGAGATACGGCGACCGCTGGAAGACATCCCGAGGCTGGCAAGCCGCCGGGAACCGACGGAGACGCCCGAAACCCTCGGGCCTCGAACGTACCCCCCCCCCTGACGTCTCCCTGGGCCTGTCGGTCACTCTCTGATCGATGCTCTGGGCCTCGAGCGCCCTGTTAGAGGAAAGAGAACTATGCACATACACCGATTCTGGCAAGGCCCAACCATGAGCCCAGGATCGGTGCATACGCCCTCTCACCTTGGCCAGGAAGGCATCTGCACCGACCCTGGGTCGAGGATGGGCGTTGTCAGGATCGGCGCATGTGCACAGTTCTCTTCGCCCGACCTGTGCTGCAGCGGCCGCTGCTCCGACAGCCGGGGCATCTGCGCCAGGCTGGGCGATCGGCTCGCCGAGTGCCGGTGGGGCCGGGAGGCCCCTCGTGCCAGGCGCGCGGCGGCTCGAGCCAGGGCGCAGGCAGGAGCCCCGAGAGTCGGCCAGGGCCTGGCTCGACGGACAGCTGCCGCCCTTGCCCGAGAACCGGGAGGAGGAGGAGGAGGAGGAGGAGGAGGAGGAGGAGGAGGAGGAGGAGGAGGGTGGAGGGTGGAGGGTGGAGGCGGAGGAGGGTGGAGGAGGTGGAGGAGAAGGAGGAGGAGGAGAGGAGGAGGAGGAGGAGGAGGAGGAGTGAGGACGATGGAGGGCCGAAAGGAGGAGGAGGATGAGGAAGAGGAGGGTGGAGGCAGAGGGAAGGAGGAGGAGGAGGAGGAGGAGGAGGAGGAGGAGGAGGAGGAGGGTGGAGGGTGGGGCGGAGAGGGTGGAGGAGGGTGGAGGAGAAGGAGTGGAGGAGAAGGAGGAGGAGGAGGAGGAGGAGGAGGGAGGATGGTAGGGGTAAAGGAGGAGGAGGAGGAGAAGAGGAGGGTGGAGGCAGAGGAGGAGGAGGAGGGAGGAGGAGGAGGAGGAGGAGGAGGAGGAGGAGGAGAAGGAGGGTGGAGGGTGGAGGGTGGAGGCGTGAGGAGGGGTGGAGGAGGTGGAGGAGAAGGAGGAGAGGAGAAGGAGGAGGAGGAGGAGGACGATGGAGGCGGGAAAGGAGGAGGAGGAGGTGGAAGAGGAGGGTGGAGGCAGAGGAGGAGGAGGAGGGAGGAAGGAGAGGAGGAGGAGGAGGAGGTAGGAGGAGGAGGAGGGTGGAGGGTGGAGGCGGAGGAGGAGGGTGGAGGAGGGTGGAGGAGGAGGAGGAGGAGGGAGGAGGAGGAGGAGGAGGATGGTGGAGGGTGGAGGCGGAGGAGGAGGGTGGAGGAGGGTGGAGGAGGGTGGAGGAGGGTGGAGGGTGGAGGGTGGAGGAGGAGGAGGAGGAGGAGGAGGAGGAGGAGGAGGAGGGTGGAGGGTGGAGGCGGAGGAGGAGGGTGGAGGAGGAGGAGGAGGAGGAGAAGGAGGAGGAGGAGGATGAGGAGCGTTGCAATTGTCGGGCGGGTGGTGCTGGGAGGTGGCCGGGGCTCCACCGCCTGCTCCAAGGCAAGGGGAAGAAGAGGAGGCAGCAAGCCTACAGCTTGCATGGCCTCCTCAGCTGCCGCCGAGGCTCAACCAGGCAGGACATGCTCAGGAGTGCAACTGGGGGGCGACGAAAAGGGCCACCGCAGAGGGGCCCTGTAGGGCCCCTCTTGGAGCCAATAGGGGCCCCAAAGGGGCCCTGAAATGGCCTGATTGAAGGCGCTTTTCTTCACCCCCCCATGTGGGCCACCCCCCACTGGGCATCGCTCGGACGTCCATTCCCTGTGCTTTTTTCGGTTTCGAGCGTGGCTTTTTCGCCAGATGATCAAGGATGCCCCTCGATGGTCCTCGCCGGAGGAAAAATGCACACGTCCGAGCGATGCCAGGCCCATTACCCCCCCCCCGAATGTTCTGTAGCAGATGAGCGTCTTCGCCCAGCTTCGGGCCCCGGGAGCATCACAGATTGGGCCGGCTCGAAGAATGCAGCAAAAAGATGGGGTCCAGGATCCAGGGCTCCAGTCGTGCTTTTTGGCGATGTTCTGGCCTGGTCCAGCAAGTTCCGAGGGGAGCGAAACTGGAGGAGCAGGGGGAAAGAATAGAGAGGAGGGTGGAGGAGGACGACGACGGTGGTGACCAGGACGAGGTCAAGGAACGAGGAGGACGAGGGCGAGGGCGACGACGACGACGAGAATGAGGAACAAAGGTGAAGGAAGCATGCATAATAGGAATAGGAGGAGAGAGGAAAGACGAGGAGCAGTAACAGAAACTCGATCAAAGAGCGAATCAGGAAGATGAAAGGGAATGGCGAAAGTAAGGGGAAGGGAAATAGCATGAAGAAGAAAAATTCGCCGGCCCAACGGGCCAGGGCGTGCTAAGATCTCCGGTACCTGGTTAACAGTATTTCTAGTTCGCGCGCGCGGGGCGGCCCCTGGGGGTCCCCGGACGAAAAGTACCCCGGCAAGGTCCCGGCAAGTCCCCGGCAAGTCCCCGGCAAGTCCCTGGCAAGGTCCCGGCAAGGTCGGGTCAGAGATGCCGGAGTTCTGTTTCGGAGTCCAAGAGGGCTCCAGATCGGTCCAAGAGGGCCCCGAGAAGCTTTCTAGACGGTCCAAGAGAGGCCCGAGACGGCCAAAGATCGCCCGAAGACGCCCCAGATGGCCCCAAGACAGCCCAAGAGGCCTCCAAGACGCTCCAAGGGCCTTCCAAGAGGCCTCCGTAGAGGGCCCCAAGTTGCCAAAATCGTTGATTTTCATTGTTTTTTTCGATGTTTTTTTTGCGTTCTGACCTTTTCGCTTCCGGACGCTCCAAGAGGGCCCAAGAGGCCTTCAAGACTGCTCCAAGACGGCCCACGAGGCTCCCAAGACGGCCCCGGAGCGGCCCAAGAGCGCCCCCCAGACGGCCCAAGTGCTGCCCAAGGCGGACCAAGAGGCCCCAAGACGGGCCCAAGAGGGGCTCAAGAAGGGAACCGAGAACTGAAAAATCGAGCCCTCCGCCCCAGAAGGCGCCCAGGACCCCGAAAGAGGCCCCAAGAGACTCTCCAAGACACCCCCAAGACGCCCCAATAAGCTCCCGTGAGGCCCCAAGAGGACCAACAACGTCAGGCCCCAGGCCCCAAGAGGACCAACAAATACCGCCAAGAGCCCGCCGAAAGCCCCCCCAAGAGACCGTCACGAGAGCTCAGGAGGCCCCCTGGAGACCTCCCGAGTTCTCCAAGAGGCCTAAAAAGAGGCGCCAAGAGGCCCCCAAACGGCCCCACCGAGGCTCCAAGAGGCCACGAACGCGCAAGCAAACGCCTGCGATGGCACAATACGGGCCGGCGGAATGAGCGAAGCGATTAAATAAGATAAATAATAAGACGACGAAGGCGACCAGAGAACAACAAGCGGAAGCGAACGCAAACGGGGACAGCCACACAGCTGGGGATGACCAATTTGATGTGGCAGCACAGCAGGGGCCTATGCCAACGCAGCCGGGGGTGATCGGCTTGATGTGGCCGCGCGGCGGGGGCTTATGCTGGCCGCTGAACTGGTTCGCTCTCTGGTGCAAAAGTCTGGCACCCTCAAAGAGGTAAACACTTGAGTGGCACCGATTATCCATCCTCAGGCGGATGCTGGTCATCCACGTGAAGGTCATGATGACGACCCTCCTGGATCTCCCCAATGGTAGTACTCATGTCAACCATATTCCACAGCTGAAAGTACGAGGACTCTTTGTTCGGCAGATTCGTGAACAAGCTCCTAGGCATCGCTTTCGAGGCGCTCGTCCATGAGCTTCGCGGTGAAGGTCAAGGACGAGCGAGATGCGGCACTCAGATGCCAGGGACCCACGTTTGGTCATCGGCCCAGCAGCCAAGCGGCACGTGTACCTTCGGCGATATGTTACTGCTCTGCCGCCCAAGCGTCAGCTTGCATGGGGGAGAGCCAGAGTACACCCCTGCTTAGAATTAAATCTATGTTGCGCTAAGGCAGCGCCCCCCACTCAAAGAGCTGTCTTGAACCGTAGTCCAGGCCCGCATACGCGAACGTTCCACGAACGAAAAGAGAAGCCCCAAGACAACGCCCAGGTTCCAGCCAAGGTTCTTGATTCTCTTGAGCGAAATCTGGAACCCATGCAAGTTGGCGCGTTTTCTTATGTCTGGTGGTTGTACACGTGGGTCGGGAGAAGTGGATGAAACTCGCAGTAGGAAGGCGTTGGAAGTGGATTGGGCTTCCGCCCGCCCCCTGAAAACGAACGTAAAAGGAAAACCACTCGACCCTTGAGGTAGGAAGGCGCCTGAAATAGATTGGAATCTGGGGATCCCAGAATACATCTTTCAGCGACTGGCGAGTACGAGAAGAGGCAAAAGGAGGAGGAGGAGGAGGAGGAGGAGGAGGAGGAAGAGACGGTCTAATCGAGCGCACGGTGACGCACGGCAGTGAGCAGGCCCAGACCGAGGCCAGGCACGGCTTCGGTAGGCTCTGCCCATCGGGCACCTTCGGCGGCCCGACTGCCGTCCCAGATCGAACAACCCCTCGGAAGATGATCGGGGAAGATCCTCCTCCTCCTCCTCCTCCTCCATCCTCCTCCTCCTCCTCCTCCCTCCGGTCCTCCTCCTCCTCCTCCTCCTCCTCCTCTGTCTCTCCTCTCCCTACCTCCTCCTCCTCCTCCTCCTCCTCCGCCTCCTCCCCTTCCTCCTCATCCTCCTCTCTCCCTCCTCATACATCCTCCTACTCCCTCTCCTTCCTCCCATCCTCCTCCTACTCCTCCTCATCTCCTCCCCTCTTCCTCCTCCTCAATACTCCTCCTCCTCCTTCCTCCTCCTCCTCCTCCTCCTCCTCCCTTCCTCCTCCTCATCCTCATCCCCCCCCCCACCCCCCACCGGACCACCGGTGGTTTTTTTGGTCCCCCAACAGGTGTACTGACCCCCTTGCTGGCCCAGGTCAAGCTTCCCCGTAGTCCCTCATCCATTGCGACGAGGCTTGCCCGCTCGGAGCGTGCTTGGGTACCCCGTGGGCCAGACCTGGGTCAGTCAAGCAGGATCCTGTGGGATCCTGTAGGGTCCTGCACCCAAGCCAGGGTCAATGCAGCCCTGGCTCTGCAGGATCCCGCAAGATCCGACGCTCTGACCGACCCCGTTTGCATTGACCCCCGTCTCTTGAGCCCCGGAAAATCACCCCCCTGGTTTACCGGCCTGGCCCAGATAAAGCCGTCCCAGATCGAACAATCCCTCAGAATATTATTGGGGAAGATCATCATCCTATCATCCTGCTCCTCCTCCTCCTTCTCCTCCTCCCCTTTGAGCTCAGTTGAGCGCTCGGTGCAAGATCCTCCTCCTCCTCCTCCTCCTCCTCCTCCCCCCTGGTTTACCAGCCTGGCCCAGATCAAGCTTCCCGGTGGTCCCGCATCCATTGCTCCGAGGCCTGCCCGCTCGAGGTGTGCTTGGGTGCCCGCAGGGCCAGGCTGCGCAGAGGTGCGAAAGGGGACGTGGCAGAGAGAGAGAGAGAGAACTGGCCGGCTGGCACCCCATCGTGGTGCTCATGCTGCACGTGCCTCCACAGCCAGAGCCAGAGCAGAGGGGACGAAAGGGGAGGGGAGGAAAGAGGAGAGACGAGCGGACGAGGGGCGACGGCGTCCTGACCCCCTCCCTCCCATCCACCTCGCACTGCGCCTCGTGCTCCTCGGCTCCCTCGGCCGAGCGCCGGACCTGGCCCTGGATCCCTGGAATCCCTTGAGGTGCGCGCGGAGGTCGGGCGACGGCTGGGTGGAGAGGCGACGTGCGCGGGCGGACTGCGCCGTGTGCGGAAGCGGGCGAGCCGATGCCGAGGCCTCGATGGGGGGGATGCGGGATATGATAATTAGGGCTGGAGCGGGGCGGGGAGGGTGGAAGGTGGAGGGGAAGGAGCCGGGAGAGGCAGGGGGAAGCAGGAGGCAGGGAGGAGGAGGAGTCAGGGAGGAGGAGGAGGCAGGGAGGAGGAGGCAGGGAGGAGGAGGCAGGGAGGGAGGGGGCAGGGAAGGAGGAGAGGAGGAGGAGGAGGAAGAAGGAGGAGGAGGAGGAGGAGGAGGAGGGAGGAGGAAGAGGAGGAGGGAGGAGGACGAGGAGGAGGGAGGGAGGAGGAGGAGGAACATTGGGAAGGGGAAGAAGGGGGAGAGGGAGATGGAGAGGGGGAGGAAACGAGCGCAGAGGGAGGACAAGGGAGAGGGGTGAGGGGACGAAGGGCGGAGAGGGGGGCGTCTTCCTCCAGGACGGTCTCCACGTCCTTGTTGTCCAGAAGGCCGCGCCCCTCCGACAGGCGCACCAGCTCCTTCCCCGGGGGGTACTCGCGCTCGGCCCAGGCGAGGTAGCCGGCGACGGTGGGCTCCAGCTCCTCGAAGGCCAGCTTGATCCCAGGATACCTCCTCCTCCTCCTCCTCCTTTCGATTTCTTTTTCCTTTTACATAATTTCTCCCTGTCGCACCCCGAGGCCAGTGTTGAAGGCGGGCCAGGCGTTTCGCCTGAGACTTCCTCACCGTTTATGACCCTGAAGCTTTAAACATGGCAACAGCTTCACAAATGGAGGGCGGGTGGTTTTCAACATGTGACTCTCGCATTAGCGCCGCGCGCAGTCGGTTTAACAATTTGCAAGAGCTTCACGGATTGAGGGCAGGTGGCTTTCAAAATGTTGCTCTCGCCTTAGCGCCGCGCGCATTCGTTTTCAAGATCTGCAAGAGCTTCACGGATTGAGGGCGGGTGGTTTTCAAAATGTGGCTCTCGCCTTAGCGCCGCGCATATTCGTTTTAAACATGTACCAGAGTTTCAAGGATTGAGGGCGGGTGGTTTTCAAAATGTGGGTCTCGCCTCAGCGCCGCGCACATTCGTTTTCAAGATTTGGTAGAATTTCGCGGGTTGGGTGCGGTTCCTTTTCAAAATGTGGCTCTCGCCTTAGCGTCGCGCACATTCGTTTTAAACATTTGCAAGAGTTTCACGGATCCCCATGGTCAGCATAACCAAGAATTGTGCTTCTGGAAGGATTCAATATTATGAGGGCGCAACAGTGACGTTGATTAGCTGTGTTGAAGTCTGAGGAATGGCGTTCTGGTGCGATTGAAGATCGTCAAGACGCAACAGTCAGGTTGATCCGTAGCGTTGGAGTCCCGAGAACAATGTTTCGGCATGCTTCAGGGTCTTCAAACGGTTGTCTTCCAACGAGGCAGTTCACTCAGTGGGAACAAGCCGCTGTAGGGGCCTATGAAAAGGGAGCTTGGAAGGAGGGTTTATTCCAACATCGTTGATGACTCTTGGGGTTCCTCTGGTCCTCCTCCTCCACCTCCTCCTCCTGGTCGAGACGAGGACTCGCAGTGCTGGCAGACGGGAGCCACGAGGATCAAGCCTCTGTCGAGACCAATCCAGTCTGGACCCAGGGCCGAAACCCTCGCGCTGGCGCTGGCTCTTGAGTATACCTCAGGAGATTTGCTTTTTGTCACCGACCACCAGGCCCTCAGGACGGCCTGGCCGCAGAGGTCCAGGAAAAGCACAGGGGGGGGGGGCCAATGAAGACCTGTGGCACAGAATTCGGCAGGCCTTTCAGAGCAGAGCTGCGGGGCGGGTCGAGATTGAATGGGCGCCCTCGCACGCTGAGGAGGACGAGGCCCAGCTGGCCACCCACCCCCCAAGGCTGCTTCCTCGCCGCAGGCAGCGCTGCGGCCGACGTGGGGGCGGGAGTGGGGGCGGAGCTGGCTTGGGAGGGATTGGTCCTGCATGAAGCTGCGCACTGTGACCTCTGGGGCGCCACAGCTGCTTTGGTCAGGAAGAGAGCTAGGCGTGCCCTCCAGCGGGCGGCTGAGGCCGACACCGAGCGCGCTGCCGATCGCCCTGCGCGAGCTGCCCGCTCGCCGTCGAAGTCACGACGGCAGCGGGCCATCGATCGCTCGCCGCACGCACTCCAGCAGGTTGGGCCGAAGTGGCAGTGCAGCAGCTGCTTGTAGATCACGCATGCTGCTGACCTCCTCGAGTATTATGCGACCCCCTGCGTGCCCCCCCCCCAGGCCGACCGCGATCGAGGCGAGGGCCCCGCGACCGAGGGAGAGGAGGGAGGAGCTGCAGTCGGGACCCACCCCACGCACTGCATGGGATG